TTATAGTTTGATTATTTCCTAATAATTTTCAGTAAAGGAATTTAAAGAGCTAGTGGAATACTGGAAAACTGGGGCATGCAAGTGAGAACTGCCACCAAAGCAGATTTCAATGTTTCTGTTATGGCTTCAGTTTTATTCTCCCCCATTCAAACATTATCTGCTGTTTAATGTTGGTCTTACAACATGTATAATAGGAGTTTATGTAACATCGGTGTAATCTGTATTTGTATCTTAATTTTTTTTCCCCCAGTCCTATCATTTGCATAAGTAAATTTCTGCCTTGCTTATATGCTGATTTCACTGTTTCATCAGTATTCAGTATTGGAAAAGAGTATATGCTAGCAGTAGGGAATGTGCCCATCAACAGTAGTTGTTGGAAATCACCTTCTGTTCCTGACAAATCCTAGTCTTTGCATGGATAAAATTTGTTCTTTATTCAAGGCTTTGGCTTTTGTCTCAGTGAGAAACAGAGATGGTTTGGTGTTTTTTTTTTTTCCAAGCAGGGCCTATGTTCTTTAAAACAATCCTTATACTTTCTGCAGTTTTAACTAAGAGAAAAAACTAGTTAGTCCTCTGTCACTTTCAAATTGGAGTTCATTAACAATTGAATTACATGTTTTGGACTCTCCTTCAAAGTTGTGGAGAGAGGAATTCCCTTAGTTCATGTTATTGAACTAATTGTGTGCCAGCCCCTAAGGTTTCACTGCTACTTACCTTGAATTTTTCTAACAACCTACAAGAATAAAGACTTACTTTTTAGTACATAAGCTGCAATATGTATTAGCAGTATTTTTGAGGTGTAGACTTTTTTGTCAGTGGATAAAGGTAGTTCAAAGATAAAAGGAGTGTAAGGCTCAGCAAAAAATGTTGGCTCCTGTAGGGTAAGAGACATGCTTAGGCAAGTAAAAGCTGTCAAGTAGAAGTGTGAAAGCTGAGGGCTGCAGCGTGATCGTCCTTGTGCTCCAGCATTACCAGCATTACTGGCATTGCTGCAAGTGCTGTACATGGGCAACCGAGGCAGACCTGAACAATTTTCCCTGGTGCCACTATGAATTTTGGTTGAGGCTTATGTTCTAGTAAAAAAAGTATTCACTGAGACTGAGGATTCAGAGCAAGCACTGCATCTTCCCTACCAATCTTAAAAGGTAGGTTTTGCACTAGTCACGGTGGCTGCTGGGACAGGAACAGGTTCCCATTATACCGTGTTGACACTTGGCATATAATCACTTCAGCCTCACGGGGCGAGGTGTGCTTGGCTGTGGAAAGAATGTCCTGGTTTGGCTTAATCCACAAAGCCTGGACCATGACAGCTGTAAATTGAGGTGATGAACTACCTCAGAACATGTGACTACCAGATGTCTTTGTGTTATTATTCAGTGGGTAACACTGGCACGCATTTAACATGGAAGGATTCCTGCTTACCTACTCTAGCGCTTTGTGAGGGGATAATGCTGATTGTTAAAATAATTTATTCATTTAGGCAAGATATTTGAATAAATGCTGCCTGTATCTGTAAATTTGTCTGGTGGAGAGTTGGTCTGTGCTTCCAATTATTTTTAATTTGGCATGACTTCTACCAGTTTCCAAAACCAAGCAGGATGTGAAACATCCACAGATAATGTCAGCATTCTTTAGTTACATACCTATATTTATACCTTACTTCACAGGAAGGAAAAGCAGATCTTCATGTTATATGTTTCAATGAAGCTCATATTTTGCTGCCTGATCTTCCTTTAATCAATAAAAGGTCTGATCTCACAGTATTAATGCTGAAGTGTATAGTTTGATTGTTGCATCCATAAGGCTTTTGGCCCTTCTGTCTGGGTTAGCCTTAAAAGCCTCGCTGCACTCATCCTGCCAGCTTTCTCAGGCTGGGCTTTCCACCTGTGGGCTTGAGGAGCAGGGACCTCTCCTGCTTCCCACCACTGCAGCAAGAGGATACATGGGTGGCAACGCTATTCCTCGTCCGTGCTTGTCAGCTTAGGACATGGATGTTTGCTGCAGTTACCGCTCTGACTATTTGCAAAGACTCTTTTCCAGTTTAACTTAATTTACTTACAAACAAAACTTACTTATAAAGCTCTTCATGAAGAAGCTACTCATCTGCTATAATACAATTCCATATGGCAGAGCATATCTACTGCAATAATGTGGGTTTATTTATATTTTGTATATCCAATTCAAATATTTTGACTTTAGCCTTAAGCATTGTCATGTTTGAGGAACTGTAAGAACTTCACTGAACGCTTCAACAAAAAGTTCGTGCTAATGTGGTAAAAAGAAAATTACAGAATTTCAGTGTTAGAATATCTCCCTTAAAGTATTTTGAAGCAGAGGAAGCTGCAGGGCACTCTACTCCTGTCCGTTCACAGGGGTTCTGCGTGACTTTCTTACCTTTTGGCTGAAGAAAAAGAAAATTAAGGTGGAGATGTTGTACTCTCCATTCTCTCTTTCCGTTAGTCCTTTGGAGAGAGAGATATGATTACATGTTTTATTAAAATAGTACAAATAAGTGTCAGTTGATTTGGAAACTTAATTTAGGTTGGAGTTAATGATTTAAAAAGACACCTCGTAGTTGCATTAAAGGGAAAAACTCTGAAAGCAGATGTGTTAGCTGGTCCTTATGTAAACACTGACAGAAGTTTCATCCCTTGGGTCAGACAGAGCTGTTATTTTACTGCCTCTAGGAAAAAAATGTTTGTTAATCTGTCAGTGTGTGTCTGAAACAGCAGAGTAAGCAAACCTGGGCATCGTACTCTGCTACCACACTGTAAGATCAGAAGTTTTGGCCAGATTTGAAAAATCCTATGGAATCTTAGGAAACTACCAGAGACTTTGAACTTTGTCTTTAAACTGCTCAGCAAGTTACTTGATTTGTCTTAACAAATCGCCTTAACTACCTTCTTAATCAAAAATCCTTGCTAAAGAAAGGATGGAGGAAGGCCAAGCACTGTTCCTTGCTGGGGAGCAGAGTCCCAAGGCTGTCTTACTTTGCTTGAGAGGTTCTGGCCCTCCTGCTGTTCTGCTGTGTATCTTTTAGGAGAAGAGCTCAGGTCAGGCAGAGTCGGGTTTTGTTTAAGACTCTGGGTAGTACCTGTTTGAAAAACAACCCCAAACAACTGTGTCCTTCTAAAGAATTTCTTCCAGGAAAAGCTTTATCCTTCCTCATACTAATGGAGAATTAGGAAGTAATTTTTTTTTTTAAGTTATTTGTGTCTTCACTCTTAAATATATAAAAAGAAAAGTGGTAAGATGGTAATAGAGTACTGTTTTGTTCATCTCCTCGTAGCTTAGAAAGAGGATGGAAACAGAGATGTATTTATTTTTACTTAGCTTCCTCAACAGCCTCCATTTTCTAAGATGTCATTATCCTTATCTCTATTGAATGTCTCTGCTGCTTGTTATTTCCCCAAGCAACAGAAGCAGCAGAATAAAACTGGTATGTGGGTTGTTGTTTTTTTTTTTTGACAATTTAATCATTTCACAAAGCCACTGTATTAAAGGAGTGACAGTGGCTAACCAATGTCACTCTTTGGCCTTGTTAGAGCTGTAGGCAGCATCTAAGGCATTCAAGGTGATTGCAGGCTTCGGGAAACGGTGTTGCACTAGTTCACCTTCTTCACGTAAGAAGGTAGGGTTCTTTACAACCACAGAAGTCATCCTTTCCCTCCTTCCTCTACCCCCCTCCTCTACCCCATGAAACACATTAATTTAAGTTTCGTATAAACACCCCCTCTGATTTTCTAGGGAAAGCTTTATGGCGATCACTGGTGAGTGACTGATTGGATTCTGCAAAAGTTGACATCTTTGCTCCGACTGCTAGTTCTTGTCAGCTTTTTGGAGAGCTGTCAGCTTGAGATCTGGGCTGTTTGGAACATAGTTGTGGAATAGTTTCAGGTATTTAATTTGGTTTTGTTTTTCCTGGCAGTTGGTGTTTTTACACCTGCATGGGGAAGATACAAAAATCTACAACACGTATGGTAGAAGAAAGCAGCTTACTACACCAAGCTTTACAGATAAACTCTGCTGACATACAGCTCTGTCAAAAGCATAATGTCAACCGAAAAAAGTGCATCTATTTTTCTCTTTATTAATGATACCTTACTTGTAACAACAGGAGCTGAATGAGTTTTACTTGAAAGTTTGTGTTCTTTAATATAAAAAATATCGCACTGTATTTGCCAGACTTGCTTCTTCAGGAGTAGCTTTACATAAAAAAAAGTTTTCTTTATGATGAGAAATAATCAAAATGTAGTGAGGGTTTTTTTAATCTTGTATTTCTAGAAGGCATTTGTACCATCTACTTGAATTGAGAATACTTGCTACTTGTTGAAGTACAGAATTTAGTTTATAAAAAAAATAATCAAATACTGGGTTGACCAATTAGCAAAGTTAAGATTGCCAAGAAGTTTACGTACTTGTAGTATATGTTGATTGATCAGAAGTTGTTAAGGCATTAGTATAAGTGTGGTGTCTTCTCATTTTTAGATTTTTCCTATGTATTTACCATTTTTCCAGGTTACAGTGTGCTTTGTATTCTGATCTTATGCTTGCTTGATAATAATAAAGGACTAAATGCCATAGCCACTGGTTATCCTGTCGGTATGTAAGGTATTTGTATTATATCCTCTTCTCATATTGTGCTGTCTTGGTGTATGTCATCTTTAAATTTTTACTTCTGAATTTTGCAAATATGGTTACCAGAGGAATCAATCATCTATTAGCCTCTGTTTTGAGATCAGCAGCCGTGCTTTCTAATGATGAAATGGTATGTGCATCAGTCCACAAAGCAAGGAACAATAAGCGTGTGTTTGGATGTGCAATAAATGAACTGCCTGGACTAGGAGGTTGAAACTTTCCTACTGTAACCTTCAACATTACAAGCATGTTGAATTTACTCTTTTTTTTTTTTTTTCTTTGAGATTTAAACACAGGTTTTGTTTTTTATGATTACCTTAAATTTGTTGGACTTCTGGACTTTATTTGTTCATTCTTGAGGTATTTTAGATTCTTTTATGGCTTCAGTAATTCCTTGTCTCTTTACAGGACCCCAGCTGAATGCTCAACTAGAAGGTTGGCTTTCTCAAGTACAGTCCACAAAAAGACCTGCTAGAGCCATTATTGCACCGTAAGTTTGAAATCTGTTTCTAGTATGTATAATACTTGATTGGTTAAGTGCTTCTTTATTTGAAAACTGGTGAAAGCAAATATTTAGCTGAAAGGAATGTCCTGTGGTTTCTAAGTATTTTGGATATGGCATAGAATGGAAGAAATCTGTGCACATCTTGGTATATAATTAGTTTCCTTTTGCTGATTCATTGCAGATGTAACAGTCACTTGGGATCATAGAATGGTTTGGGTTGGAAGGGACTTAAAGATCATCTCATATCATACCCCCTGTCATGGGCAGGGTCAAGTAAGATCCAGTAAGACAGATAAAGAGCTGTATTAATGCAGTGGTAATCTAAGGTGACAGCTCTTTCAGTGCACTTCTGGTATAGAACAGCTACACTTATTTAAAAAAACCAAACACCAAAACCAAAACACACAAACCAAACAAAACTCCAGCATCCCACCGCAAATCAAAACTTAGCAAAGCTTAAACCAATAACTAATGAAACTATTCAGCTATTCGAAGTGGTTTACCTCTATTGTTTTTGTGTGGTTTAATTTTTTTTGTTCCACAGCAGAAATTGGGATCATCTAAACTATTTAGGTAGAATTCAATTTCCTGAAGGTCATTGAGACACACAATAAGAAAAGTATGTTGGTCATTCCAATTTATTATGAGTTGGAAGGAAACACTAGAAAAAGCATCTTAAATATGATGTTTTTCCTGTGCTGACATAACATTGACATGATGTTTGAAGTATTCCGTAATAGTATTGAATGTGCAGAAGAAATTGCCCCAAACCTGCCTTAGCCTGTCTTGCAGAAATAGCAGGAAAGAGGCCTTTCAGCTGCAGATAGGTAACCTGGGTTCTTTTTCCAGAACCGGTGGAGGTTTTCCTGTGGTCTCACCAAATTATTCTATTAACTGTGCCTTTGATTTCCCACTTGTAAAATGGGATATGGCTAGTAACTTGTTTTTGTGAAAGACCAAAGAAGTCTGTAGCAGAGGGAATCTTTCAGAAGGCTCTTTTGACAGTTCACTAGGTCTCAGTCTCCTGTTCATTGCCTTAACGTGTACTTTTCTGAGCTCCTTAGAATGATTGAGGTAAGTGACACTGAAGTAAAACCCCAGGGTAATTCTGAGGATAACTTGCTCCAGGTACCCCTCTGTGTAGATTAATATACAGGCATGCAATCATACATATGCATAAATAAATATAAAATCCTCCACTGCTGTCAATGGGGAATTTGTACCTTCAAGCACTCTGTATGCCCCGGGACTGGCAGCACATATCATTCTCTGTATCATTGTATAAAAAGACCATCTGAGAAGCTGTAGTTGTATTGTTGCACATACTTGACTCCAAATAAATGATAAGTATTGACCCAGGGTCAGAGGTGCTCCAGAGTTGATGTGGGCATGGCCTTCCACTGTGGACATGTTGCTGAGTGACTGTGAGGTGTTCTACGCCTTTTGGCCTGGGACCCTGGGGAATGAATGTTCTCTGGAACGAATGCTTTTAGGAGTGTAAACTGAATCTTCTCCTGCTTTTAACAGCCTTAAAGGGAATGGGTCTTAAGATTTGGATGTGATATGTGAAACGAGTAGTCAGAATAATTATGGATGTTTTTGGAACACACACAGAAACACAGGTGGAGAGAGGCTCCAGGCCAGAATGATAGGAAATGATAAAGCACGTATCCCATTCTCTGCAGTAAAAGCTACCGTGCTGCGTTCCACTCCTTTCCTTGTGCCCATTCATTCTGTTGCTGAGGTATTCTTCTTCAGTGACGGAGTATTTCTATTCTCTGTTTATCTGCTGTAAAGTGTAGTCTCTACTGTCATTGTGTTCAGTTACTGGAGTGTGGTTAGAAGAGCTTTCTCCAGCAGCTTGTTGTTCACTTGTCCCCTGGCTGCACTCTTAGCATTGTCACCAGCCTCTGATAATACGCAGTTGTGTAGTCTGTCTACTAGTATCTTTTACAAGTAACAAAAGGTGCTTTAGTCTGGAGTTAGTCTTACTAACTTCCGAGTAAATGGTCACTGGTAGTTCTTTAACAAGTGTGTCTCTTGTACATTCAGTACTGGAACAGTGCTCTCTAGCTCTTCCAGGAGTTGATTTTTGGATTGCTCTTACTATTTCTATCTCATTGGGGACAAATAATTCTTAAGATATTAACATTTTAATAGAAATACCAACATATTTAAGATGTTAAACAATATTTAATATGTTAACATTTTGTACACCTTGGTTTGCAGCCATGCAGGGTATACCTATTGTGGATCTTGTGCAGCCCATGCTTACAAACAAGTGGATCCTAATATTACGTAAGTATTAAAGTTTTTCTTTGCAAAGCTTAAGACAATGCCATTGCAATTCTATGAGAAGCTGAATGTTCTTTTTATATTCTTACACCTTGAAGTACTCAAATTCTAATTTTGTATTCTTTTAAGTCTTTTGTGCATCCCTTCTGCTTTAATGCCATAAATGTGCAAGTTGCTTGGATGTTACAAAAGAAAAAAATAATGTAGTATTGAAATTAATGTTGAAATTGAAAACGTAAAGCAGTATTTTAAAAAATTATTGAGAATTATTGGTAACTAATTTTTTTTTGGAAGGGAGGGGTTAAAGGTGTTCTTTTTGCAGGTAGTGTTTAACTTACATTATTGCTTGATGTTCCACTGCTTTTGTAAAAGCCCAAGCTGAGTTGTTTTTGTTTGTGTTATTTTTTTTAACTGATCACAGGGTGTTTTTGTTTCTTTTTTTGTTGGGAGGTTTTATTTGGTTTCAAAGTATATTAAAATATTTCATGATTCTGCATTGGTTTTTCAGTGCAGGATTATGGGCTGAATGCTGCCAGGATTCTCTTCTGCTGTGGAGAAAGTGACCAGTGTGTGTCTATAATATTTGAAGTCAGTGAAAGTTACTTGTTGTAATAATTTTAAATGGACTTGTGTTTCTAACAGCACAACAGTTTAAAAAAAAAAAGAAAAAAAACAAAAAAGAAAAAAACAAACAAACCAACACAGTCCTGTAGTCTGTGCCTGCTCTGAAAATATGAATCCAGTTATTCTAGGTTAAAGGAATGTAATTCTTGTGTTCTGCTGACTGCTATGGTTTTTTTTAAAATGACAAAAATTTAAAACATCTCCAGTATTTGCTTAAAGTGTGTATTTTGCAATGTTAATATAAAAACTGTCTATTAGTTGCTTATGAGATAACACATTGTAATGCTCTCCAAAGACCAAATGGTTTTGATTCTTTCTAAACTATTGTAAACTAAATGAAGACAACTTACAGAGTGAGTAACTAGTTACTTTAAAACTTCTAGAACAAGTTGCATTCCCCAGGTTCAGTGACATGGAGTTGATTCAAACTTTCTGGATCATATGCTGTTTTATCGCATGGGATGTTTAGAATTCATCTTTCAGCTGAAGTATTGCCTGTTGGGATATTCTGGTTTTTAGCTCTGTAAAAAGTTGTAGTATTTTAGTGTAGCTTGCTATAGCATTCCACGTAAAAGGAAAAGAAAAAACATCTTTACATGTCTCCCATCCCTTTAGTTCAGATCCTGAATCTGAAGAGCTGAATTTCCTATAGATTTTCTTTTTTCTTTAAGTCTTGTGGCAGGAGACTCTTAACATCTGTTCAAGAGCCAAGAACTGAGGACTTGATGAAATAACATCATGATGACGTATGAAAGCTTGCAGTATCAGCTAAAGCTACGAATTTTCAGGTTTTGGTCCCTGTTGTTGATGCAACAGCTAGATAAAAACAGCATTTCAAAGTGACTTGAATTTGAATTTTGTGAAATCTGAAGTAAGACTAATCAAGTAAATAAGAAGCTCTGAATAGGTGATAAATCCATCATCCTGATTTGAGGGCACATACATACCTGTAGTTGTTGAAGGTGGTGTGTAACTGAAGGTTGTGTTGGAAGGAGAGAATTCAAAAATCTGTTTTAAGTCCAAATGAGGCCAGTTACATTTCTAGCTGATGAGTGCCCTCTGATATATCACCTGCTTAAGGCTATGGGAAGCATTATTGAACTGATCTCATGATCACTTCCGAGATATCGAGCAAGATCTGTGGTCTTACACACAGCAGAGTAAAACTCTATTGGTAACCACCCGAAAGTATCGCTTTGTGTGTTTTTATTAAACTTGTTACTCTAAACCAAGTCTCTGTACAATTGCAGTTGTCTAAATCGTGGGCTTTTGTGTTAACTGTTGTAGCCGAAAAATTTTCATTCTTGGGCCTTCCCATCATGTGCCCCTTTCCCGATGTGCACTTTCCAGTGTGGACATATATAGAACACCTCTGTATGATCTCCGAATTGACCAAAAGAGTAAGTGCATGATAAAGCTTACATCTTGAAGATTGTTGAGGCTTGAGCATTAATTGTTGGCCTGCAGTGCTGAGGACTCTCTTGTTGGGCGTTTCATTGCTTTTAAGTGGCATACAAGTATAAATTTGTTTTTACTGCAATGAGAGCTAACTTCTGAAAGATCCTGATGGCTGTGGACATAGCTATATTATAACCTTAAAGTCTCTCTTGCTCCTGCAAGTAAAGAATTCTCAATCTTTGCTTATCTTTTTTCCATTCTGTTTGTGCCTCTTGAAAACTGATCTTTTAAAAGGAATTTCAAAATGAAAAAGTGTTACATTTGAATAACAGCCCACTGCACACCTGCTCCATTGTTCTGTGAAGTATTCTGTCTGCAAAAAAAAAAAAAAGATAGTGCTCTAGTTGGTTTATTTCTGATAGAGGAATAATAGAGGAACAGAAAGCTGCTTTTATTTGGATGAGTTATTGCATGTGACTTCTTTTATTTTTAACTGGCAGAGTACTTACAGAACTTAAAAGCTTTTAGTCCATGAAATACCAGTCTTTCAGACTAAGCTTAAAGGTGCAATGAAGATAAATTTGGCATTTTGACTTTCACGTGTTTTGAGGTACACCTAAATAATAATATATCTTTTTTAAAAGGGGTACTTAGTGCAGATGCATTGCCCTTTCTTCATGACTGATTAAGCAAGCTAATTCAGGCTTTCTACATACTGCCTGCAGAAATTTTATTAAGTAACAACAGTTTCAGTTTCTGTAGAACTCCTTTAAAAGGAGTGGAGAAGGAGGTACAGCCCTACCTACATCAAATTCTTCATCCAGTGGAGAGTTTTCAAAATGTGGAGATGACTCCGCATGCTGTCAAGGACACTTGAGAGTAGGAAAGATAACTTATAAATGTGCATTTCTTAATCAGTTTTTGCTGTCTCTAGTTTTCATGATTCAGTTAATAATAAATTGTATTAAATAGTAACACATCCAGCAATGGCTCAACTGATCAGCAATTCTTATTTTTTATTTTTATATACATGATGGTGTAGTTTGTGAAAATATGAATTCAGTGACTGGGCAAATGCATGTCTATTTTCAAATGTGTTTTATTTTGTATCGTAACCGAAAATCTTTCTCAGTATACTAACAAGGTTACTGATTTAACACACAAACATAACTGACTCAGTTTACAAAATATGCATCTTTATGACTTGAACATAATTTTAATCCTGAACTTAAAAACAAGTGGGTTATGATGATAGCCCTTGGAGGCAAGTCATTTGTTGTCATGGGCTTGTTCTGATATAGATGCTCTATAGCTTGCTTTACAGTTGGTTTTTGGTTTTGTTTTTTTTTAAGAAAGTAGTAAAAGTTAATCTTCAATTCATTTCAGTTTATGGAGAACTGTGGAAGACGGGAATGTTTGAGCGTATGTCCCTACAGACAGATGAAGATGAACACAGTATTGAAATGCATTTGCCTTATACTGCTAAAGCCATGGAAAGGTACTGGGGTTAATGACTTCTTCTACAGGAATGAACATTACGTGCATTAAATGTTTGAACCACATGTGAAGTGCAGGAGGAAGTAATAACGCCCTTTATGGTGTATAATGCCCTATGTGGTGTATAACACTCGCACTCCCTCACCCCCCAGTAAAAATTTTGGGGAGGAGAAGGTCAGAGATGAGGATTAGTTGCTGTAATAAAAACTGTGAGCAGAGCAAATGCCTGAATGATGAAATTGGAACACCCCTTATAAACAAGTTTATATGTTTATATTTACTTAATAGAGTTAATAGTAGACATGCTTTCATGAATCTTTTTCAGTAGCTGATTTTTAATTATTTTTATTTTTATTTTTTGCAAGGCATCTCTGAAAGAAGTTCAAATGCTAGTAGTGTTTTCTGTGGGATATTAAGTTTGTTTGGAGCCTTGATACTAATTTCGGGATCAGGATTCTGTTTACACCTGCAATTTCAAATAAGTATTTTGAATATTTTATTTTCGTCGATGTGTGGTGGTTTTTTTCCCCCCAATCTTTTTTTTTTATTATTTTTTTATTTTTCTTCCAAAGTCTTTGTAATTTTCCCTGGAGTATCAGTATACATCTGGGTGCTCTCTTGAGCATTTTTAAATAAGTTGGAAAATTACCCAACATTTGTGCAGCATCTATACTGGGAGAATTTCCTTCCTAGTTATTTCTGGTTTCATTGTGTCTTTTCTTTTTGTTTGCCTGGTGTTTTCACTTTGCAGTGAAGATAAATACTGTTTTCGGGGGATGATTTCTGAAGTTGAAATAGTTTCAGGTTCTAAAACAACTTTCTAGTATGACTTTACCAAATTAACCATATCTTCAATAGTGCCCTCTTAAAACATTCTGCAATTTCAGTTAGGAAGGCCTGAAAAAGACTTCAGATGTTACTTGAATTACAACATGTTTTCTTTTGCTTATAAGCCATAAGGATGAGTTTACTATTATTCCTGTGTTGGTCGGAGCACTGAGTGAGTCAAAAGAGCAGGAATTTGGAAAACTCTTCAGTAAATACCTAGCTGATCCTAGTAACCTCTTTGTGGTTTCTTCTGACTTTTGCCATTGGGGTAAGTTTCACATCTCTTCATTATAACAGTATGATGAATATTTTGTAGTGATTTTTCAAATAATGTATTTTATTAAACATTGAACATCTTAACTTCTGGTAAACGTATCTTTGAAAGACTTAAATGCTTTTGTAAAGTCAAAAAGGATTTTTCTTTTTAATCTGGAACAATAGATGAAAAATATTAATGTGGTAATGTGTTTTCAGTGTAGTGGAGGAAGTAAGTGGTGAAGGTGGATGGGTTTATATGCATCTCTTTATTGTTGCAATTAAATAAGTGTCTGAAGTTTCTTGCTCCTTTTACTCTTCTTTTAAGCACCTCAAAGCAACTTGCAAAACTGATTAGCTAAAAATTCACTGGACATGGCAACATCCCTCTGATGGAAATAAGTTTTGTACATTTCACTGCTGGGTAAGATAGCAGATGGAGTATATATGCCAATTCACCAGGGCTATCCCAGTTCATCTTGGTGGCAGAGCTATAAAGACTCCAGAAGCCTTGACTTCTGTCCTGCTTTAACACTTTATTTCTCTTTGAAGTGTGATAATAGCTGGAAAAGGGCCTGCTTCAGAAAGATACATTTTGTTACACAACAGACCTTCTTCCCTTTTCTCATCGTCATCTTTGGTCAACTTGCATAATTAAGTGCATATATTACTTGTCTTTGAATTGTGGAGTAGGTGGAGGTATATAAGGATGACCTGGGTTCTGTTGTGGCTAATGAACCATCTAGAACTGTTCACTGAATTATCATGAACTTTTTCTTTTAACCGTCATTTACTGTGGATATTGTTGTGCAAGCAGAAGTAGCCTGACTTCAGAGTTGACTTTGTCAAGAGGGATAGCAAAATAAAATGTTGCTTTACTTTTTAATTTATAGAATTGGATTCCAAGGCAATAACAGGCAATTAATGAGTGACACACAGTGTCGGTTCTAGACAGTAAGCTTTTCTTTAGGAATATAGCTGCCCATCGTGTATTTTTTACTTTGCTTCTGGGCTGCTGCTTTGATTGCCCTAGAATGTCCTCAGTGGAGCTAAAAAGTATAAAATAAATGAAGATTATTACTTTAAAAATATTAGAATTTCAATTATTTAGTAAGTACTAGGGAGTGTTTTAGCTACGATTTTTCCCTTTTTTATTTTATACATGATTTTTGTTTCAAGGTCAGAGGTTCCGTTACAGTTACTATGATGAATCCCAAGGAGAAATTTATAGATCCATTGAGCACCTAGATAAAATGGTAAGTTTTCAGATTTGGTGGAACTAACTAACAAATTTCTCCTGTACATTACATTTCTTTGAACACTTTAGAAATTTCTCTAACAAAGTATTATAGATTAGCTATATTATTGAATGTATACTTTTCCTTTGTTTACCACAATAAGAACTTAGCTGTTGTTTTTAGCTAGGATCCTCCGTTTTGCTGACTGCACACAGTATATTGGGGGTGTAATCTAGTAAGAACAATTTATGCATGTTTGCCTACCTAAAATGCCCTAGTGTAATGCAGTTCTTGTCCACATACTCTTTTGAGTTTTGGAGAAGCAGTAAGAATTATGAATCGAGTATTGTGGTAGTCCAGGCCTGATAGCTGTGATACCCGCGTATCGAAACAGCATCGTGATCATGTTAATGGTTTCAGCAGCAGCCATTTTGAGGAGGAGAGACTATAGGAGATTGTGCTGGTCAGGAAAACCAAAGTCACCGTTTCCTTGGGAGGAGTAGTCTTTCCCCCATCCCTTACTCTGTAGTAGGTGGTGGTGGGGAAAAGCAGTAAACCATGCTTTAAGCTGGGTTTGGCAAACGGCTGAAAGGAATGCGAAATACATAAAGATCATGATGCCAATTATGGTGCATTTTCTTTGCAGTCACAGGAGCCAAGGATTTATTTTTAAATGAAAAAATTGTGTTAATGTTCAAGACTATACTTAAGGCGCAGAACTAATTCTTCTGTAAATATGTAACCTTAAAATTTGTTTTAAAACAGTTTGGCTCATTTATGTAACTTTTGTAAAATCTGTTAGAAGAGAGAAGTGTTGTTATTCAGGGCGTGTTAATTATTTTCCTTGTCTTGAAGGAATAAATCCTATCTGCTGGAGGGATCTCTGGAGTTTTTTGCTTTGTGTATCCATATTAACTTCTTTGTTTTTCCACTATTAATCACTGGAATGGAAACAGTAAATAGTTTGCCTTTTCTATTTGTCCCATTTTTAATAATTCTTGTTGTCAGTTGAGAGGTTTCTCTGTAAAGATGAAGTGTTTTTCTATGGAGTCCCAGAATTTGCAGTTCTGAGTGTTTTTGCAGGAGAACAGATTAAGGTGCATTAGCAAACATTAGTTTCCCCTTGTTAATTTCTTTAGTGAAAGCTTGTAGAAAGACTGGACTTTGGTATCTAACTATTTTTAGTGACTACATTGCTGCACCAGCTCTTTCTTTTGGTAGTTACTCAGCCAAAAGGAGATGACATTTTTTTGTAATACTGAAAGTGATGTCTACTGTGTAATAACAATGAAAATACTTTTTCAATCGTAAGTTTAACTAGAAAACTGAACAAGCTGCGTAGCAGTACACTCTGGTTATTTTTTGTCTTTATATCATGCCATATGCAAACACGTGACTCAGTATTCGAACTCTGTACAGAGTAGGTTTTGCTTTTGGTGAATTTCAGAAATTTCTTTTTAGGGGTGTTGTGGGTACACTTGGGATGCTCTCCACAATGCCACAAAGATCTCCCTGTCAGGTTTTTTCCAGCTTTGGACGGAGTTTATTTGATTTTGCATGCCCCATTCTACTTCTTGTTTCCTTATCTAAGTATTGAATTTTTTAAATGTCATTTGGCCAGCTAAAGAAACTTGTATTGTTACAAGCACTAGGACTCTCCACAGAGAAAATAGCATTAAGATAGAGACAAAACTGCACGAAAGCCATCAGAGGTCTTAACCTCTTGTTCCCGGCCCAATAATTTATTGGCCTTAGGTAGGAAAGCAGTCGGCTCAGCGCTTGTTAAGCAGGAAGATATTCTGGGTTAAGATGAAGTTACTTTTCCTTAGAAATGCCCTTGTGGAAGGACAATGGTCCCTTCCTTATTTAGATTGGACCTGAAGTACAGATGCATACAGATACTTCTGCTGCCCCCCCACCTCCTTGCTAGTGCATGAACAGTGCTAAATGCTTTGGACATTGAAGATCTATTAACCTGGTAACCACTGTGAGAAATGTTATTTGCTGTGATTTTAGGTTAGAGCCCTTAGACTCCAGTATAAAAAAAAAAAAAAAAAACCAAAACAGAAAATACAGAATAGCAAATATTGCTGGGCAGACATTAGTTTCTCCATGGTAACTCCTAATATGACCACTCTGTTACCCTGGGAGTACCACAGTGCACAAGGAGTAAAGAGCCCCATGGTAAATAGGGGTACCTTAGGGAAAAGTCCTCAAATGAAGAGATATAACTGAGCAGCTGATGTGCAGCAGTTTGTATATCATAACCTGATATCTCCTATCTTTTTCAATAATGATGGGGGAGATTCCTGTAAGACATTGTTGAAGAATAATTATTTTTTGATTATGGCTAGCCAGCGAACGCAGACTGCTCGCTTCAGTCGTCAGTGTCAGATTGCTCATTTTATATCTCATTTGTGAAACCGTGTGCCTCGCTTGAATCGACAGGAGGCTTCTGTTACCCTGAATGCTGAAGGGGGAGGATAGTGCAGGCGCAGAGGAGAGCTGTGCAGGAGCTGTGCACAGCATGGGTGGCTTCTCAGGTGGCTCTAATGGACTGATGAATTCTGGTGGCTTCTGCAGTGCTGCTACGGTGTGCCATCACCTTCCAGTGCTCCAGCCTGGGAATGTTTCTTAGCTTGGGCGTAGTGCAAAGCACACCTCTCTGCTGGGGTGCCCAGCTCCCTGCTGGCTCTGCTGCCCCCAGCCAGCAATTTTCTTCTTGGTTGTCTATCTTCTAGTGCGAGTGAGTCACGTGTCCAAAGATAGTTGGATTAGCCAGTGCTAAGACCAAGTTTGTTTCTGCTTCCATAAGTGTGCTAATGGCTTATAATTTTTAAGTGTGGAGAAGCAGTTGAAGTAACTGATTGCAAATTTAGACTTGACCAGCCAAAGGATTATTATAGTATAAAACAAGCCTCCGTATGATGGGGTTTGTTTTGGGGTTTTTTGTGAGCTTGATACTCGATCCTATAGGGGGTGATATTTAAGAATGTAACTGCTTTTCTCATATTAAGTGCACTGTGCTAGGATATTGTAGATGACATTTACATTGTCTGGTTAACTGAGATACGCAATGTCTATGTGGTACCATAATAACCATGTGATAAACTGCAGAACTACGTGATGGTTTGCATTTTTATCATGTGGGTTTTGTTGTGTATTTTAACTCTGTTTAGAACAAACCATGCCTGGCTGAGTTACTTTGAATACTGAAAATTATTAGTTTCGTACTTCTCCTTTATAGAAAATAAAACACAACCTGACAAAAATGTTTCCTTTGTTCCTCAATGCCATTCTAGACTGAGAAACAAGCTTGGTAGTCTCTGCCACAGCGCTTTTAAAATCCAAAAGATTGAAAAGTTCAGTACAGCTAAATGCTTATAGGATATATGTTAATACCCATTTCCTATGGATTTTCTCCAGTCTGTGATGTATGGAGCTCTGTTAGCATTTGCTGGGATGAATTGCATAGCTGTAAATGTTTCGCAGTGCTGAACCATGCATTGAAATAAGCTTACTAGGCATTCTGATAAATCCATGTCCATTCATTTGAGACAAATGCTTAAATGCCTCTGCCCAGTATGTTCCAGTGACTTACAGCTAAAAAACGAGTCTATCGATTGAGCAGCCATTTTTATTTTTTTAAAAAGCCGTGAAAGGGTTTACGAATGGGTAAAATATATCCTTATGAGCTGTTCAGGATCAGAGTAAGTGCCTCATGGATGTTTAGTTTCACTTGAGTATATAGTTAAGTTTGGTTCTGCTTTCTTTAGCTGTGCATTGACATGTACAATTTACGAGTAAATGAATGGTTCAAAAATATGCTACTTAAACTTCAGAAATGCAACAGTGTCTATGTAATCACTGCTAGTTAGAGAATAGCTACCTTTACTTCTTGGCACTCATTTAGGTTCTGTATGTCTGGAGTGAGTAGCAGCTGTCATTACCAGCCAGGGGTCCAAAAACCCTCTCCATGACCCTGGAAGAACTGAGCTCTTGCCAACAATTGGTCAGCATAGTTTGGTTTTATTTTTCCATAAAATTTATTTCTTTATGAATTCATCTTACTTCTGTTTTCAATTAAAAGTACACAAAGGTGGTGGTTATTGTTGCTGTTTTCTAATCCTCCCTGACTCTCGTGGGAATCTCCAGCTCCTCCGTTGTAAGCTGTGATCCAGTCTGAATAATTAGCGTATCTGCCAGATCAGCCAACGCCCTTGCAGAGTATTCAAGAGGTTTCACTCTTGAGGTGGAGACTTCAGACAGACTGGCTGCTTCCTGCATCATGAGTTCTCTCTTTATCACCTGCGCTTTCCCAAAAGCAGGGGAAGGGGATGGGAAAACCTTAGGAGAAACTCTTTCCCTTTCCCTTGATATCAGCCTCCCATTGTTCCCATGCAAAGCGTATGGTGTTTTTCTAGTCTCTAAGGAAACTCTTCCAGTTTCATTAGCTACACGTAAGAAGCAGAGCTATGCGTCTCACTTGAATTAGTGAGTGTCTGGGGCTCATTTGCCTGGTGAAAGGAATTAATCCTTTTCAGAGGAAGGAAAAACACAAGAGGATTGAGTCTAATACAGGCAAAATAGCAAAACTCATGATAAAACTCAGACAGTAATTGATTTAGACTTGCTTGAAACTACTTTCATTGTATTTGATCTGCTCTGTGGGATAGGGTAAGAGTAGGCTGTATCTGGAGTTGTAGGATTCTTTTTACCTTTACAAATGCAAATGTTTGTATATGTGGAAGGTTCTGGATTCCATACACGTGCTGCTTTTCATAGTATGACTCCGTGGGATCGTGGGTCTCACTGTGGGTGGAGAAAAAGATCTATATATGTGGCTGCCTTGTGTGAAGTTGAAGCATCATCTCCTGGCTCTTCTGTTTCTGTTGTGCACCAATTTTCCAGTGCTTTAGAGATGTTATGGATCTCCTTTAAATGCTCTGAGCAGATGGCCGGCTGGTGCCCAGATCAACTGGCATGCATGCCTGAAGTGTCTAGGATACATTACACTTCCTACGTGCTTGAATTGCATGTGTTTGTCTAGGAGTTTTGGACACCCAGAAGTCCCAGGCAAGTGCTCAGCCCTGAGCTCTGTTACCAGTGAGAGGAGATGGAGGCAAAACTCCTTTCTGCTTTGCCCTTGTAGTAAATGTGTCTGGTTATTGCTGTCTAAAATCCTCTGGAAGTAAAGCGCCCTTGGAGGTGAGGATGAGCTAGTCAGTGGGAGGAGCTTTTTTAACATGAGTTTCACCTGTATCTGCAAAGATAGCTTCACGGATCTGTGCATTATTGACAGCTTTGGAAGAGCTCCTGCACTTGTAGCTTGGCAAGGGATGGCAACAAGATGGCTGCAAGCTAGAGCTCGCGTGCTGAGGTTGGTTCCCTTGATAGCCTTGAGACAAAGTAGAGCTGTTTTACTCCTGAATTATTCTGTGTTGTCATAAATAGGTGATGTATAAACACCTGCTTATGAATGTGTAAAGTAATCATTGCTGTTGATTCTTTTTCAGGGTATGAGCATTATAGAGCAGCTAGATCCTGTATCTTTTAGCAATTACTTGAAGAAATACCATAATACAATATGTGGAAGACATCCTATTGGCGTATTATTAAATGTAAGTAACTGATTTGTTGAAAAATATAAGTTTTAGCACAATGCCTACATTTGTTTAAACGCAATCTTGCTGTTAGTTCTAAAATGTCAAGTCTTGAATTAATTTATTTTTCCAAGTGTCCTCGATTTGGTCTCCAATTTCCATGCCTTGCATATAGGCAAATGTAAGCTCTTACAAGGGCTGAGGGTTTTCAGTTCCCTAAGGGAGATCAGATACCACGTTCATTTTGAATTTCGATGAAATACTATCATTCAGTTTCTTTTGGCCCTAAACAAACAAATAAATCCATCTCCTTGAAGTACATACTTACTCTTTTGAATCACTACTTAGAAAAATGTGATATTAAAACATAAGATTTTTTTTCTGTATTGTTATTAGCTAGCTATTGTGAGTGCCTTGTGATATCTGGCAGCATTGTTCAGTTTTTCAAGTATGATGAAAGATTGTGTAAGTATTAGTGCAGTGCTCTGTTAACTCATAAATTAATGGCAATTAGAATTCAGATTAACTGGTACTTTCTAGTTACCCTGTTCTGCTTTGGTGATGCTTAACTTGGATGTCTAAAATGGGTCACAGCTGCTTTACAGCACTGCTGGAGTGTGCTGCAGATTTGTCATGTTGCTTGAGTGAGTCTCACAGTAGTTTTATTGTAATTTAAATCTGAAACAGGAAGCATGTTAACCTTTTTTAAAAGAGAAGACTTAATTCACTGGAAATGTAGTCTATATGGAGAGCACAGAGAAACCCTTTGAAGTGGAGACTATAAAAGTTTGTAAGAGTAATGTTAATATTGTGGATGCATGTAGCAAAATTCAGTACTGTGACAACTCTGCAAAAATATCCAACTCTTAACCTCAGATCATGATGAGTTTTGCAGTGAGTCTGAGCTAAATTCTGTTAATTCACTTTTGCAAGTTCTCACACTTCAATAAATTATCTTGGTACGTTCTTTTTCCTTAATGGAAGATGTGCAATCTAAAAAGTGTTGGTAGTGTTGGGTTTTTTTCTGTCACATCTGTGCTCCTGTATGAACCCCCTTTGGAACTGAAAGCATTGTTTCTGAAGGATCTATTTGGAAAGGTTGTTCAGCATTGCTTTATAGAACTGCGTGGATGTACGTACGGCAGTGAGGGGGAATGCTGGTGAATGAAACGGCACAGAAATGGGTTAGGTCCACAAATTACTCAGAGATGCTTATATTATTGCGAGAGATGGTGCAAGGACTGCCTGGGGGAAGAGAGAGGACTGAGATCTAGAAAATGTCATCATTTCAGTGACACTTTTATAAAAAGAGCTTTTCTTTTTTTCCCCCCCCTCTCTTCAGGCTATCAACGAGCTCCAGAAGAATGGAATGAATATGAGCTTCTCATTTTTGAATTATGCTCAGTCAAGCCAGTGTCGAAACTGGCAAGACAGCTCAGTGAGTTACGCAGCTGGAGCACTGATGGTCCACTGAACCGCTGAATGCTCAGGGATGGCACCTGCACACACTCGATACGGGGTCCCAGCCTAGCCCTTACAAAGATACAGTCCCTGGTCTTTGGGTATACTGAAACCTCAAACTAATAGAACTCTCTTCTTTTCTAGTAGGTGTAGTCCTTCCTTAGTTTCAACTCATTTAAAAATGCTTTCTTGTTAGGACAATGGAAGGAAGGCTGGTATCGAAATATTTTGTGATTTTTTTTTTTTTTTTTTTTTTTTTTTAAAGAAGGTAATGGCTATGAAGGCATGGTGGCAGACAGTCCTTACAAACACAACATGTAAAGCATTTACCATATCCTAAATTTGCACTCTTTGCAGACCTGTGCACATGTACTCAGCTTTCAGAATAGTTTTGCAAGTTGTAAACGGAAAAAGGGGTGGAAGCTTTTTAATAAAAGAAAAAAAAGAGGAAGACAACGCATTTATAAATGATCCTGTATTAGAATATAATAAAACTCCAGTATAGTCAGTTACTACCCGTGATGTACAACAGATATCTTCTATTTTAGTTGCTAATAAAGGGCTACACAAACCAAAATAGTCTGATTTAAACTTATTGCTTTGTGTTCTGTATGTGGCTGCTTGTCATTAACATCTTTTCTCCTCAGTTCTTACGCTTGATAATTCAGCCATTCTGTAAAATACTTTAAAATGTATTTTATATTCAACATTTGTTATGACTACTTCATTTACAGATATTTTTTTATCTTAAACCTCCACTATGAGTTCAGCTGTGCAAAAGAATTTTAAAAACCTTTTGTATATTCTAATTCTTTTTGTTTTACAATTATCTATAAAATAGTATCTTTTAGTATGTGATACAAAATTTGTATCAGAAATACACTTTTAATGATTTTTATGCTGTTTGATTATTAAAGTGAAATAGATGCAGTATTTTTATTTGAAATTACTTAAACAGTAGCTTGAAAACTGTAATTCTTAGAGTATCTTTCAAGCATTCATAGGCCACAGAAGCCATACAGTGCTAAGCTCAAGCAATTATTCCTCAAAGATTTAATTGGGAGGGGAAGGTAAGGCTTCTCTTTTTTTTTTTTATTTTTATTTTTTATTATTTGACTGTGGGTAGAATTGTCTCATGTTCTTTAAGCATCACCACATCTTAAGAGTTCTTGAACTTTCTTCCAGCCAACATAATGGTATAATTATTTGTCATTCCTGAAGATTTCGTTCTAATAAGAAATGCAAAGTAGGATGGCAGTACTGGCTCATTATCTAAATGGAGATTTCATTCCCTGATATTTCACCTGCTGTCAAGCAACCTCCTGGTACATTCAGCTTTTCTGAGTGGCAGAGGGGAATTTCAGAATTCAATTTAGATTCTTTGAAAGTCATGGGAATTGCTGCGTGAAAAGTCTTCACCTGAAAGCGTACCAGGCATCTTGTTTATTCCTATTAGAATACCCTTTACAAACAGACACTGCTTGCACCACTTCTATTTTCTTTGTCATAGTTGGCCACTGTTTTAATAAGAACAGGTGAATGCTCCATTTACAAAATGAACTACTTTGCAGATGTTCAGAATCCATCCCAGACACCGAACTCTTTGTATGTCTTTTAGTTGCCTTCTTGCTCTGCTTTGTTCTTAAAAAGTCTCAGCGGCAGACAGGGAAAACAACTTGCAGATTACTTTTGACAGAGCAGCAGAAAGGCTATGTAGGTAAAACTGAATTGGTAGCCAGTCTTTATAAATACTTGTCTGACTGTGCCTTATTTTAAAAAAAAAAAAGGTAGTTTTATCATGAAGACTAATTTTTTTCTTTTTAATCTTCGGTGAATACAAGTTTAATTAGGACTCAGGTTTCTTTCAGTCTTATGCCAAATGCTTAACGTCATTATTGAGACACATGGTGAATTGCAGCAGTTAAGTACATACTTTCTCCCTAAGGTAAACATAGTAATTAGCTTCTGAATACAAATGCTGAAGTTGCATCTTAGTTCTGTAAGATAGTTTTAATAAAAACAAAACATAACTGGAAGAGCTTCAAGGAAATCGGTCAGCCATTTTGCTCAGCACAATGTTATGAAATATCTTACAGTGAAAGCACTTCACATGTAAACTGTGTAATGTATTTCAAAATAAAGTTTCTAATTAAAATGGAAATTTCTGTGCCTACTAATAATAGCCAGCAATGACAGTGCAGAAGCCTACTCTGAGAAATTTAAAGCTTTGTGAAGCCTTCTCTAACTTAGAAGGATTTTTTAAAAACAAACAAACAGAAAACCTAAACAAAAAGCAACCAAGAAAAACCACACACAACAAAAGAAAACCAAACCCTGTTTGTTCGAAAGCAGAAAATACCTGACTTCAGAGACCTCAACTTTTTCTTTCCCTCTTTTGGTGGGGTTGGAGAGACTTGACTTCAGTGCTCAGTTTCCTGGTGTATCAGTTTAAAATGTGTCAGAAGGAAAAGCAAAGCATCTCCTGAGAAGATCTTCACTCAAGACTATACTTTCAGTATTTTAGCTCTACCACACATTTTATTCTCACTTAAATACATATTTGAATATAGCATTTTGGGACAAAGAGTGTCTGGTTTAGACAATATTGAATATTTGCAGTCCTGTTTGCTTTTGTAGAGGTTTCTTCTCTGCCTGCAATGACTGGGCTTTGCCTACGTCTCTGGTGCAATAAATCCAGCCAGGGACATGATTCTTGTTTTAAAATCTTGGCATTTTAGAGAAATGTCCAATGTGTGAAAATGTTGATTAAAATACTCCTTTGTTTTTCCGTTCTTGTGTTGTTCACAAAAGAGCTTTATAGGTTGGGTGTTTTTTTTAAATACTGTGTTTAAAAAGTGCTTTTAAAGTGCTGTCTACTGAATTCTTCACAGACGTTGTTGATGTTGAAATGGAGCGGAGGTCTTCTGCTGTTTAGATTAGCAAAAGCCGGAGCCAGCGCAGGCGTGAGCGGGCAGCGGGTGCCTCTCACCTCTAACCGAGACTGAGCTCCCAGCGTGGGGGGAGTTACCTGTAGCTATTTCAACTCTCAACTTTCAGCAGTTCATAGCCACTGTTTGGCTTTATTTTAAAAATCCTGGCTTGAGTGGCTTTGATCGATGTTGTTATTTGAAGTGGACTCTTGCTCCAGTGGATTCTCCTTTCTTGGAGCCTCCGGAAATGCTGAGTTTCCCGGGTGTTTTCAGGGCTCCCCCTGGCTGTTTCCCGGGCAGGGGCTCACTGCTGTGTCTCGGGGTTCTGGGTATTGCTGCAGGCTTCCCTCGGGAATTTCAAATTGACGTTTCAAGCACTGAAACGGGGGGTTTCTATTTGATGCCTGCACCACACAGAGTCTCCTGGTACCTTGGCGTGTTTATTTGGTGGTGGGTGTAGGGATTTTCCATTTCACGTTTGTCTTTTTCCCTTTGTTCCCTCAGGGAAAATGTTCTCCTGTCATCAAAGGAAGCTTTGCTTTCAAATGGCATCAGTCCCCGTGGTTTGCAGTTGTTATTTCCTCGGGCTAAGTTCAGTGTGCTAACTAGCATCCCATCCGCTCTCAAAAATTGCCCAAACTATTACATTCATGGAAAACTGTTTAAAGTCCCTTGTATAGGTGGCCTTTTGCCTTCCTACTTCTGTGAGAAACTTTCTGAAATTAATCCTTGAAGCTCACCTCTGAAAAGATCTTCAGTGTGAAGAAAAGGTGAATCTTAGGAACCAGTTTAGTGCACCCCGAAGCTGTCAGATGCTGTGGTTCGGGGCCCACAGTGCAGCCAGATGGCTCTTTCAATAGTTGGTTGCAAAATACGATTTGGAATTGGTCTGTTGGGATGAACTGACTTTATTCTTTCAGTAATGCAAAATCTATTGCCTCTATTCTAATTGTCTTGACATTTATTTTTTTAAAATTTCATTTTTTGGTCTTATTTGATTTTGTCTAATTCTGAAAACAATTTGTCCAAGCAGACAACTTCCAGATGGCTGGTGTCATCTCGGGGTTATCTTATTCCAGCCTTAGTTGAAGACTCGCTACTGGCTTCTTCCTGTTGTGACTGGTACCTGTTTAGTATGTGCATCCCCCAACACCAGGGTCTGAGGCCTCTCTCCTGTTGCTTATACCCCAGGAATGAAAATGCCATGGTAGTGATAGCTCTAAGTTAAGGAAGAGGTTATGTCAGTTTGTTTGCTTGTGTTTTTTGGTGTTGATTGGTTGCCGGGAGGCTGGTAGAAGCTTTGATCTTTTTGGAAAGGGCAAAGAAATGAGAAGAACAGGCATAGATGGGGAAGAAAATGGTTGCTTTTCCAATTTAATGTCAGCAACTGTTCTGCTGTCCTGTTTGGGAGCTGACGTGCTGCAAAATATTGCCCAGTGCAGCTGCGGGCTGGATGCAGAGGAGAAGAAATGTTGGAGGTACTTTGTCAAGTGTAGCTCAACTTGTTGAAGCTGAAGAGTTAGAATCCTATGCTGGTGTCTTTAAGTTACAGGTAGTGACAGATGGCCCCCACAGCCCCAAGTTTCTAAGGCAATGTGTTTGGTTCTCCGTGGATTTGAGAGAAGCAAATAATTATCTTAGCCCTGTGATTTCCATTGACATTAATGTAAATATGTATTCCCTACAAACAGTTCTATGTACTCTTTTCAAAACTTATGAATCTAAAGTTATATAATTACTGTTTTCAAACAAAACTATATCCTAATTCAAGTAGTTTTATTTAAATCCCATTAAAGAATAATCCAGGGCCTCAAATCCTGCAGAGTGAAGCTGGTAATGAAACTTCAGACTTCAGTGATATAGTACCTGCTCTGTATGTGATAAAAAGACCTAAGTGATGAGGAATAAAACATTGTGTTAAGTGTTAAACTGGGAACTCTCTGAACCTAAAATTCTCTAGATTTTTTTTCTCTAGTGAATTTGAAAACGGGGAGGAATGACTTTCCTGAGCCTGTGATGGCAGCTTCATAAGGCTGAAAACAGCAGTGCTCTTGGATGAAGTTCCTTCTTAGGTAAAAGGTGTTTATTTTATTTTTGTGCTGAACTCTTGCAGCAGGAAGTGGAGTATGAGCATCTCAGGGCTTGACTGAGCTGCTGGGCTGTGCGGGCAGGTCGGGAATGGCGTCCCCTGGGATGTGTCGGCTGATACTTACATACTTAAATGACTTTCCATTTGTCTCTAGGAATTGTTGGAAAGATTTGAAAAGTGAGCCATTAAGCTCAGCTGTGATGAATCAGTGTTGAGCTCCTGCATATCACAATAAAAATCTCTTTTTCCTTTGTGGTCACAGTCCAATCAGCCAGTGTTACAAATAACCCCTCAGTAAGATGTCTGCAATGCCGACTGTTTTCAGGGAGAAATCACCTCTTTCTTCATCGTAAGACATGGTTTTCTTTTTGCAGGGCTGAGATGTAACCCAATTGCTGCTTTCCAGCCGTTCTGAAATAGACTGACTTGGTTAGTGCATATCAGCAGTTATCTTTGGTGCGTGCTGAGCGCTTCACCCTCCAGAGGAGATCCCTGGCAGCAGGGCAGGGGGTGCGTTACTCACGTGTGCCCGTGTGTTTCCAAGCCAACCCCAAAGCACGGGTTGTGTGGGAAAATAATTCCAGTAAAGTGGATAATGGGTACATCGTGGCAGGTATAAACCTGTGCTTTTTGGAAGCTACAAGAGCATTCTCGTGTTCACTTAAAAAAACAAACCCCAAGAGAGCAAAAAAAGCCAAACAACAAAACCACCCCAAAACTCAGAAAATGTGTAAGCATATTTCTACAAAGAGTAGGGAAAACGTCAAGAGAAGGTTAACCTCCTCATGAAGGCTGGGACGAACCCGGGGTGGGAGGCTTCCTCTTCTGCATCCGCAGCAGGAGCCCTGGGGGAGGTGGTGCCCTCGGTGGGGCTGGCTGGGGCAGGTGGTCCTTGGGCGGGCTCAGGACTCCCAACCCAGAGGGAAAAGGCCTTTTCTGCTAAATGCAGGTGAAGTCTCTTGTGAGCAGCGAGGCTTTTGAGAAACCGCCTTGGCTCATACTAGACAGCGAGTTTCAGTGGGAGTCTCTTCAGACTGCTTGCAGGAAAGGAGACCATTTGTACGAGATTGAGAGAAAGTGCTGGGGGTCAGGGATGCGTTCCCCACACTGCACAGCGGTAGACTGGAAAACAGGAGCCTCCTGCTGCCATTCCCTCTTCTCCCTCTCCTGCCGGCGCCTCCCCAGTCCCTCTCCTTGCGAAGCCTGCTGGAAAGAAGGTGGGTTTTTCCTCCGTGGCTTTCTTTTGTTGCTGGAAGGCGTTGTTTTGGGGGGGTTCTGGCCGACACTAGGTGTCAGTGTCGTGCTTCCCTCCGCTCCCGCCGGGGCTTCCAGTCGGTAGGAATTTGGAAATACCAGCCCAAGCCTTTCCTTTCTCCAGTTCGCCCTGAACTTTGTGGCCGCGTCCAAAAGCCCCTTTTCCAACAAAAGTCCCTTTACAACGCTGTTATATAAAAAAAATAAATGTTGGAGATCTTCGCCTGCTAAGTTAGCTCTGTCGCAAACTACAGTAAAAAATGGCAACAGCATATTTTTGTTGACAAAGCCCATCAGCAAACATTCAAAGTAAAGGGATGGTGTGCACTTCCAGCTGTGACAGACTCTCTTGCTCCCTTGCTGTGTCACAAGTCGTGCGAAAATTGCTTCACTTGGTTGGTCTGGTATTTGAAGAAGGCTGCTCACTTAGGGATGAGGTGGGAGCTTGGGCTAAAAGCTGAACCTCCTCTCACCCTATGAAGGGTGAGACGAAAGGGAAAGGTGTCCCCCAAGCTCCGTGGCATTGCAGGTAAGTCGTTAAGGACACGCTCCCGTTCGTGTAAAAGGTGGTGGCAAAGGTGAATGGGTTTCAGCAGGGTGGGCCTGAGATAGCAGCTGGAGCTGTTGCCCTACCAAAGCTGGGGGTGGCAGGACAGATGTGAGCATCCTCTGCAGCATCTCCAACCCTCGCACTCAGGGGCAGGACGGTGCCCAGACTTTGGTCTGTGTGCTGTGGTTTGACCCAGCAGATGGAGGGGACCCACTGGGCCACATATGTGGCATCGTACCTCTGTGAAGGTATTAATTTTCACAAAGCTTGATGAAAAACCTCTGTGTCTGACCAAGCTCCCACTGAAGTAAATAGGAGACGGCTCAAACTTCACATTC